CCAATGAAGGTTTAATGTAAGCCATTCACATCCTGGAAACTAGGGTACAATGAGGCAGAGTTTTTTAAAATAAGACACCCTTTCTTTTTGAGTAATTGATCCTTGCAGGTTGTGTATGAAATTTTACGGTCAACCTTCAATCAAAGATCCTTTTTACCCTAAAGGAAATTTTATGCAGGACTTTCAATGAAGGATCATTGCCTCCATAAGAGGAAATTTTACATTGGACTTTCAATGAAGGATCCTTGCCGCCCTAATAGCTAATTTTACGATGTACCTTAAATGAAAGATCCTTGCCGCCCTAAGAGGCAATTTTACGATGGACCTTTAATGAAGGATCCTTGCCCTCATAAGAGCTAGCATGTGAGTTAAACCAATAATAAAAGATGCACTCATCTGATAGGGTGCTTAAAGTATACGTCATACAAAGGGGAAAACAAAAATAACTTTGTAAAAATATCAAAGAGAGATGCATTTATAACAAAGCCCTAAAAGACGTGTTTATAAAAACCCTGTAGGGTGTGATTACAAGAAGACCACAAAGGAAAGAATTCCATAACAAAATAAAAATAAATAGGGAGCCTAGAAACCCTTCTTCTCATTAACTCGCCCAGAGTAAGGGACCCCTCATTCTTCTTGGAGGAAGCCTACGTTCGATGAGCAGGAATCATTATGGTGGTATGATCTTCATCTTCCTCATCCACCAACTATCTGTCCTTGATCACCTTGAACAAATCCAGTTGGCTTAGGTCAATACCAAGATGCAAAAAAGCCACATACTATTTGTTACATTCAAAATATTTGTTAGACGTCTCGACCAATTTGTCTTGAGACTCCAAAAATTTTCCTTTTAGCTTTTCCTAGGAGAAGAAAGTCGTCTTCATCTTGTTGAACATATGACGCCATACACAAGAGGAGAGGGGTGCATTATGCAGGTTTAAAAATCGTTGATTTAATACAAAACCATTTTTGAAATCTGAGTTTGAAAATATTTTATAAAAAATGTTTGAATAAATATGCAACAGAAATTCAAAATAAAGAAATTAAGTGGAAAATGAAAGAGATAAGGGAAGAGAGATGATACTAGAGATTTATATAGGTCTAGTCTTAAAGAAGTGACATACTAGGAAATGAAGTTTTAGGCTGACTTATTAACCAAACTACAAACATGGATTGAAAAGGTTAATATCCAAATCAAACAACAAACATGCTTAAAGCATTATTCTTCATGTCAAACAAATATTTTGCACAAGCTAATTTTGAACCAAAATGGAGTACTTAACAAACTAGACCCCAAAAATGATTTTTTTTTTGCTATTTTAATTAAAAAGAGGTAGGCCTCTCAATGTTTTAATTGTGTGTTGGATTTATCCATAATACTACCAAAAGGGCCCTTATGTCTTTACAAGACATTGATTACTCAAATAAACATGATTAAGTGATCTTTCACACTTTCTAACTTTCACACTCTGAAGCTTCAAGTATTGATTTCATTATCTTTGATTTTAGCATTACATAAGAGACTTGAGTCTTCTTGATGAGGCTTGAGATATTTCTATGATAGTTACCATCATCTAAGATGTTGAAAGTTTAAATTGACGGTGATCATAAAATCATAAGTCTTTATTTAAAAGTTGTTGAAGTATTGTGTTGACTTTAAACCAAATGTCTTTAACTCGATTCAGAAGGATAACTTGATCAACCACCATATACATCTTTGAACGTTTATACTAAATTTAAAAAATTCTTGACTTCAAGTGTTGTTATCATTAAAACCAAGTAGTCATCATTAAAACCATGCTTCTTCAAAACTTAATAGTTGCTTGTTGAATTGTATCTTTCTATCCATAAGCTTCATCTACTTTGACCACTTCTTGATTATACTTGAAATCACATAGTGTCGTATTATCACCTTTTTTAATGATGAAAATTCATATCTCGAGGAGGTGGTATAAAGGAAAGTAAGTAGATAAGGTTTGGAGTGGTTAAACCCCCCTCACATGAGTAGAGTGTCTACTTTACTCTCTTTGAGAGTATACTTATCCCCCTTTGTCATAATAAAAAGAGAGAGTAAAAATGCTAGAAAAAAGATAAATATGCAAGCACATTGTTCACATAAACAATTTTTCTCAAAAAGGGAAAAACGCTACTTCATTAATTTAAAATCTAGAATTAAAATTACAAAAAGCAGTAAATTATGGGAATTGAAATAATTCTGATAAGTGGGAGAATGCAAAAAATTAAACACACTTTGAAAAACTACACACAAATAAGTGAGACTACTAATTTCCATTAGTATCATCATTACTTGAGGTGTTTTTCTTTATGATGACTACGTCCTTTGCCAAATTATGTATGTCTAGTGCATTTTGTTGACATGTTTCTAGAAGAGTATTGACGACCATATTTTCTGTGGCTGGTTTAGCTACAAATTTGACTTCATCCATTGATTAGTTTCTTAATTCTCCATGAAATATACAAACTTTCATTATACTGAGTGATGAGGGGTCAAAAACTATTAATATCTTGGCTAAAAAATTTTTATAAAACAATAAGGTTAACCGTAGACTCTCCAGAAATATTGAAAATAAGAAAAATTAGAATTTATATCATGCTACTAATAGGTTTACTTTTATGTCTGAATGCAAGTGGTAATGTTGTTCATCATATGTATTTACCTTTATTAGAGGACATAGATAAAATAAAAAACATATAGTTGGAGTCCGCCACACTATCGTACCTATATAGGTCTTTGTGTAACAATGCAATGACAAATTCGTCTAATTTTACCGGATGTGTTGTTCTTCTTCAAGCTTGGGGTTGGTCAAGAATGATAAGTCTAGTGCCTATCAGTCACAATAATTTTGGATTTCCGTACGCTACAAGGTAATTTCTTAGACCAATTCTTTAAAAACTTCATATTCTCTTATTTAATTTATCCTATTATTAACAAATGTTTCCTTTTCGATTTGTAGGTGGTCTGCAATTGGGATGAATTATGACAATGGTCTCCATTACAACATCACCCAGTACTGAAATCTTCTGGATCATTTAGGTCAAGATGATGTACCGTCACTGACCTACCTATTTAGAATAGAGTCACCTTAAATATTAACATATTATTTACATATACTAAATATTATTTTTTTCTCCTACAGTTTATTTGGCGGTCATATCTTGGTCTAGAAGTCATTCATGAAGTTAACAAACACGACTCTGCTTTGTGGAGTGCAAAGGTGCTGATTATCAACTTCACCACAGTAGAAATGCACAACAATGTTCGTATCAAGTTTCAGTTTGGAATGCTACAAGATATTCCATGTCCAGCAAAATGCATCCCCGAGAAATATCACACAAGTAAAGTCTCTGAGCAATGGGAATACTCCCCATAGACCAACTTTGCAAAACATGAGTGTTGTGAATAGAAGCATCATCGCCATTTTGTTTTGTCCGGCACTGTGTTGCCATTCGAGAAAAAACCATATATCCAATACATGAGTTGATATAGGTCGGTTACCATTAGTTTCATTTCTCATCCTACATATCTGGTTGACCCACGTCAACAAGCCTCATCATCACGAACCCAACCGCCGACCCATCCCCATTTCCAACAGCCAACCCAACCCCCACTCACACAACCACAACTCCATGAACATACCCCTTACCAATCCACCACATTCCAATAGAGTTATTCCCATTTTCAATACCAACAAAATCCACCACCATACCAAACATACTCCTATGATATTACAAACAAATTTAACATGGAGTATCAAACACCCAATCAAACCTTACCCACCCAAACATATACACCAATGTCACCTTACGACCAAGTAGACTATCGTCTTGACATAGCCTCATCGAGCCAACCACCCCAACAAAATTATGAAGGCATGGGCAACCCCATTAATCTGGATAACTTTGCAGAGATCTACTCAACTTCATGGGCCTAAATGATCTAATATTTTAAAAACGACTCAATACAACCTCCAGTGGACCCGACGCCACCACAAAGACCACCGAGAAACGTACTTACTCGAGGATGTAGTACTGGCGGACATTTCGCTCGACCTAATCGTAGAAATTAATATACAATGTTTCACATATGTACTCATTTATTATTAAAAGAAATAGTTAATTATTATTTAATCATTATTATTTAATATGTTATTTATTAAATATTATTCAAAAATAATCGTTTAACGGTGACTCCTACTCAAATGGCTCCTCCTCCTAATTCATAAAGATGACTCCAACAAAAATGACGCTTCCTCCTAATACATAAATGGTCGCTAAACTAAATGACATCTTCTTTCAACTATTTTTTTTTTTTTGAAATTAAAATATTTTGAAAAATTGTTTAAAAAGTTGATTACTTTAAAAAATATTATAGCAAAAGTTGGTTATATAGATAAAAATTTCAGAATTTGTTCTTTTGTGATGTGATGGTCTCCAATTTTACAAGATTTTGCTGCCTGTTACAAACTACTAGAAGATTGACCGCATTAAATTAGGACTTTGGATGGCCTAATCATGTGCCGCAAATTTAGGGAAAAGGAGTCGCTTGTAGCATCGTTTCTTCTTTTGACTTTGACAGATACAACACTTTTTCCTAGTTTGAGTTTCACATGGTTTGCTATTGAATTTAACGCCAATGCTAGAATATTTACAACAAGTTTATCACTTTATTTCGTAAATCAATGCCTCTACAACTTCTATATCTCTTCTTAACAGTAGTATTAACGAGATGAGTATGTTGTCGTTGTGCATAATTTTGTGTTTAGTGGACTAGATGTGTGTAATGATTACTTGTTTATAGCAAAAGAGGGTTATGATGCACCAACTGATTTTGATGGCAATTAATTATGACCCAGTGTTGAAGCCTCAAAGTCCTTAGATTCATTACCACATTTCAATTTTCCATGAACTACTATATCTAAAATAGCAAGTACAAAGAGTTAAAGAGTTCACACAACTCAACACAAACTCATCAAAACAATTTAATTAACATAGCCTTTATTCTTTCTTGCAATCCTCAGCCTTTTCACACATTCTACAAACTCCCTGCTTAAAAAAAAAACAAGTTAGAACTATTACCTCCAAAATTCATACTCTGACACAAATACCAGACACCACACACATTGCTTATATCATGTCAGATGTCAGACATCAGACACATCTTCTATCAGACATATTATACTAAGATATTATTATTCAACAAAAGAATGTAAGGAGATGAGTACATACTTCCAAGGAACATCACCCACAGCCCTCCAATTATCTTCTCTGTCTTTATAGAATAATGAATATTCCGATCCAGATTGAAACAGTCTTATACCAGAAACTGAGTGGCTACCTGAATAGTACAATCAGTTAAAAATAGAATAAGCTATTGTAGAAAAAAAGTCATTATTGAGAGTGCTTACCAAACATGTCCTCTAGTTGAATTGCTAGACTTGAATATCCTCCATGATCAAGAACACAAATTTTCCTACCAATAGAGACACCATCCATGTTAACCTTCACATAAGCCCATCTCTCATTAATCTGAACCCCCTCTATCTCTTCATCAAAGTTCTCATGAACAGATCTCGAATGCGCGGTGCTTGAGTTCTTCACATTAGGCCAATCCATAATGTCATCATCATACACTGAATCCAAACCAAACATCGTTTCATTATCATAAAAGTAAACAAACACTATGAAAAATAAGAAAAAGAACTTAAACAATGAACTCATACAGTTGGTTGAAGAATGATAAGCATCATGATGAACCGTTCCGAGACTAAGACCAAGATCAATTATACCATCATCATCGCGTTTATCTTGATAGAAAACCGAGTGAAAATTCGAAGAGTTCAAAAGAAAGCTAGATGAACTCGAGTCCATTGCGATAATATAATGTCGTATAAAAAGTTTAGTACTAGTAATCAATGTTATGAGTTTCATAACTAGACTCGGACATTTATACTGAATTTATTTTTCGAAAATGAAAATCAAAAAGCACATGGAAGACAAGAAAACCTACTCCATTATTAATCATTGAATGCATAAAGCTTATCTTCTGTTACTGTCAACATGGAAGACAAGGTAAAAACAAAACAGCAAAAGAACAAGGGATGGAGAAATTGATCCTTTACAGAAGTTATTCTGGATTATGCTACCTAACATTGCTACAAATGTTCAGAATCTTGTGTCAATTTTGCATTTTGTGACAGTAAATGGAAAATGATGTACCCTTATGGCAATACATTTATCATAACTGCAGTCTCTGAAATTTAGTAGCACAAGTTTCAGTGTAATAAAGGCATGGTTGGTGCATGCACTAGTAGTAGTTGGTTTCGAACACCAATACTAACACGGACACACCTTTTTTCAAAGGTATATTCTTTCAGAGGCATCGGTACATTGAAACTGTAAATTGTTCCATTAACCAAAATCATGTTGCAGTGTGATTCTGACTAACTAAATGTTAGTCCAAACATACACTTGAAGAGATTCACTAACTTCCATGAAAGTGTTTGATAAAAAGAGTTTGGAGTTTAGTGGTTGAAATTTTGAAAGTAAACTTTGATTATTAGAGTTTAGTGCTTGGACTTTTGAAAATAAACTTGATTATTAGAGTTTAGTGCTTGGACTTTTGAAAATAAACTTGATTATTAGAGTTTAGTGCTTGGACTTTTGAAAATAAACTTGATTATTAGAGTTTAGTGCTTGGACTTTTGAAAAAAACTTGATTATTATGTATATTCCGACGAAACATTTTAATGCAAAATTAATATTTTGAGGGAATTTAAAATATGTACAAACTTTTTTTGAAATAAAAAATATGAAGGATTATTAAAATATTATAAAAAGTTTAATTTTATAATTTATTAAATAATTAATGTGTTTTGATCAAATACATCAATTTATTAATATATTTAAAAGATAAAATTAATTTATAGTATGGAAGAGAGTGCTAGAAATCAATGAAATATTTTATTCAAGCTAAATTTAATAATTTTAAAATTATATCTAAAATCAAAGATTGAAAGTGAATGTCAAATTAATTTTAAAATTTACAAGTCGGTCCTCTTGTTTTTCAAAATTTAAAAATTAACTCTTAATTTTTTAAAATAAAATTAATTCTTAATAATTTTATATTTTACAAATTAATTCTTTAAATTTTTAAAAATTATAACTTAGTCTATATTTTTAAAATTTTAAAATTGACCCAAAACTTTTAAAATTTGTAAAAATAAATGAATCATCTTAATTTTTTATCCAAAAAAAAAGTCAATTAAATCATAGAATTTAAATTCTTTAAAAATTTTCAATAACTTCACTTTTAAAAGTTTACAAAACTTTGTAATATATTTATTTATTTATTTTTATCTATGATTATAGTAAGTAGTTGTGTTTCTTTTCAAGAGAATATATGAAAAAGAATTTTAAATATGTTAAAAACCATTTTCATAACCCATTTTATCATAATAAACATTTTTTATAGAGAAAATAGGAGATGTAACGTGTCCATTGTGCATTCCAAATCACACTTATACACTCCTTCTATCTCATAATAAATATTTTATTTGAGCATATTTGTTCTTTATTTTGAAACTCCTTCTATCTCATAATAAATATTTTATTTGAGCATATTTGTTCTTTATTTTGAAATTTATTTGAGCATATTTGTTCTTTATCTTGAGACGAGAAAAAATATAAATAAGACACTATTATAAAACAGATGAAGTATATAAGTTAGTGGTAAGACATCGCAATGATAAATTTCTATTAGATGATATGAATTTCTATTAGATAATAGTGTTGTATACTACCTTTAATCTCTTTTATTTTATTTGACAAAAGTTGAAATTTTACACAGTTTATATTTTATCTTTAATTCAATGTCAATTAAAATCAACAATAAAAAAATAAATAATTTAAAATTAATTTTTATCACCTCATAATCAAACACGGTGAACAAAGTGACAATAGATAAGATGTAAGCATAAAGTGTTTAGAACATCTGTTTGAGTTATCTTCATACTATGTGACATGATTGCCACTTTCCAAGGGAACAGCGATTTGGTTGGATTCCAACATCCCACACCATCCTGCTTTTTCATACCACCACTTTTTTCTTTTTCATGGGTTACAAGTAGAAAAAACATGTTACTAACTTGAATATTCACCATAACAAAATAATTTTTTAAGGTATTAGCTTTTTCTAAAGGAAAACTAATATCTAGGTGTAAAGTTTTAGATAAAGTCAAGGATTGATTTAGATATTTATTGAGATGTCAAGATCAACAATGGAGGGACCCTTTAAGACAATGTAGAAGGTGAACCCATTATTGAGATCTCTTGCTGGCAAAGAAACAATGGCCTTGTATCTAGCTTTTTATCTTCTTCCTATCGACACACAGTAACCTTTTCTTCTAGTGACGACAGTGTGTCTGTTACATGTTCCAAATCATGTCTAAGGCTTTGTTTGGTTCAATTATTAAGAGAGGGAAAAAAAAGGAGAAATCAAATCCCTCCTAAAAGTTTTGTATTTGAACTTAAATAGGCCAATATACATTCAAGAAACTTGTAAGATGTTCTGTACATGAATATTATAACAAATCAGCAGCAATGCTGAAACTTTTTCTAGACTATTGACTTGTAATTCCTGTAACTATCTTTGGTAGTAATTCAGCCTTCAGAATGCACGAAACTCGAAAGGGCTATGAATTCTTTTAACTTTCTGCAACGAATAATGTACCTGGTAAAAAACGACCTGATAAATGATCTCGCGGGTGCCATCAACAGCGTTTGGTGTGTGCTGCGTAAGAGATCTAAGGGGATGTACAAAAGGGAGCAAGAAACTCAGACCTGTTAGGAATGATTATCAAGCATGACTAAAGAACGTATTTGACAAATTGACGGTGATTGGTGTTCGTCACTTCTCGTCGTGACAACTAAGAAATTCAATTATACTGGGATATACTTGCTCCACTGCCTGCGTTCAATATACGCATAATAAACATCACAGAGAAAGAAGGAATAGGTTTTAAAAATACAAATACCAATTATTCGTGTCAAAACAATCCTGATACTACGAAACAAAACAAGTCGTGGTTAAATGAGATAAACAACCATTTTCGATCTAAAATGAACTTTAGAATGAAAGTAAAGGGAGTAAGGTAATACCAGTCTTCCTCCAACCAGATCATAATGAGCATAATGCGGACCTTCGGGATCTCCAAAAAGTTTATAGGTAACTAGGTGCTCAGGAATTAGTTTAACAGTATCTGCTCATAAGAAAAAACACTGAGAATATTCATTTCTTGAAAGCCCGGCAGGAAAATAAAACATCTACAACTAGGATATGAAAAATACCTTCCACCGCTTCAGGTGGGCAAATCAGATCCTTGTCTCCAGCAATAGCTAAAATAGGTACCTTGATTTTGTGTAGATGGTCCTTGTAAAAAAATGTCCCATCCCTATTACATAAGCCACGCTCTCGAAATGCAGTTGTGAGTTGTAAGAGAAGTTTTGCAGGTATGGTACCTGCCAGACGCAATTGTATTATATGAGGTGATTTATAAGTTGTTTAGCCAAATATAATTTGCTTGACTGAAGAATAAAAAGGCGAGTGCAATGCATATACTACCAATATTATTACAGAATAAAGTTCTTCTAATCCCAGATATACCTACTAGCTGATTGGAGCAAAATTGACAATATCTAGACAGCACATCTAGCAGGATTAGATAACTAGTTAAATTTCATGTAAACCAGTCAAATCATCATTTCCTGCTCATCATATGATTCCTAAATAGTTTAATATCTTATCCTCCGACCCATAAAAAAATAGCTTACCCTTCTCAACCTACCCATACCTTCTAGGTCCAAAGGATTAACCCTTACTATTATATCAAAAACCGAGAAATAATATCACTTTTTCAACATACTGAGTCATCTTAGAATGCTTAAATGAAGTTATATTATCTCCCTAATTCAATTTAGATTCGTCTCTCAAGATTATGTATGATAACTGTTGAAATACAAGAGACTAAGAGACATTTGAATAAACCGTGTGTTTTGAAAAGCACTACGGAGACATTATTATATATAAATAGAATACAAGTAATTATATGATATAGTCGATGTGGGACTATTCTATATACAAATATTCTCAACACTATATATATATATTTACACATATCAACACTCCCCCTCAAGCTTGAGCATATAAGTCAAATGCACCAAGCTTGTTACATATATAGTTAGTTCTGGGGCTTCGTAGGGATTTTGTAAACACATCTGCCAATTGATCATTAGAGTTGACAAAGCTTGTGACGATGTCGCCTGACTCGATCTTCTCTCTGACAAAGTGGCAGTCTATTTCAATATGTTTGGTCCTCTCATGGAAGACTGGATTTGAAGCAATGTGCAATGCAGCTTGATTATCACAAATAAGTGTCATTGGTCTTGCTTCTTCAATTTGAAGTTCCTTGAGCAACTGTTTTAACCAAATAAGTTCACATGTTGCCATTGCCATGGCCCTATACTCTGCCTCGGCGCTTGATCTTGCAACTACATTTTGTTTCTTACTTTTCCAGGAGATAAGGTTTCCTCCAACAAGTACACAATACCCAGAGGTGGATCGTCTATCAATGGGCGACCCTGCCCAATCAGCATCAGAGTATCCAATTATCTGGGTATGTCTTTTATCCTCATACACAAGACCTTTTCCTGGAGCACATTTGATGTATCTCAAAATCCGGATAACAGCATCCATGTGTTCCTGACAAGGGGAATTTAAGAACTGCCTTACCACACTGACTGCAAAAGAAATGTCCGGACGAGTGACTGTGAGATAATTCAACTTTCCAACCAATCTCCTATATCTTCCTGAGTCAGATAAAGGCTCCCCCTGATTGGGTAGTAGTTTAACACTTGGATCCATAGGAGTATCAGCTGGTTTAGCATTTAACAAACCTGTTTCTTCCAAAATATCCATAGCATATTTCCGCTGAGAAATGACCAGACCATCTTTAGATTGGGCTACTTCAATACCCAAGAAATAGCGGAGTTTACCAAGATCTTTTGTCTGAAATTGTTTCGAGAGATGTTGTTTCAACTGGAGTATTCCCTGCTGATCACTACCAGTTATGGCAATGTCATCTACATACACAATAAGATAAATACACCCTTGGGGTGAGTGGCGATAAAAAACAGAATGGTCAGCTTCACTACGGGTCATACCAAACTGTTGTACTACAGTGCTGAATCTGCCAAACCAAGCTCTCGGAGATTGCTTAAGACCATAAAGAGACCTGTGTAGCCTACAAACCATATTCGATGACTCCCCCTGAGCAACAAACCCAGGTGGTTGCTCCATATATACTTCCTCTTCAAGATCACCATGTAAGAATGCATTTTTGATGTCAAGTTGATGAAGAGACCAATGTCGAATGGCTGCAATGGCTAGAAGAAGTCTAACAGATGTCATCTTAGCTACAGGCGAGAAGGTATCACTATAATCCAACCCAAAAATTTGAGTGTATCCTTTGGCTACCAAGCGGGCTTTAAATCGATCAATCTTGCCATCTGGACCAACCTTCACTGTATAAAGCCAACGACAACCTACTAAAGATTTCCCATGGGGTAGAGGAACCAGTTCCCAGGTACCACTGCTTTGAAGAGCACACATTTCATCAATCATTGCTTGCCTCCACTCAGGGTGAGATAATGCTTCACCTGGAGTTTTAGGAATAGAAACAGAAGACAAATAAGACAAACAAGTATACTGCAAAGGGGAAAGACGATGATAACATAAATCAATATAATGTGGAGAAGGATTTCGTGTTTGACGTATACCTTTTCGAAGGGCAATCGGAAGATCGGACTCAGGTTGCAGGACCGAATCCGGTGATGGCGAGAGCGTCGGAGGAGAGTCTGTAGTGACCTCAGGGACAGGTACGACTTCAGGGACAGGTACGACCGTAATGACCTCAGGGACAGGTACGACTTCAGGGACAGGTACGACAGACTTTGGGTGACGACGCTGATATGTTTGAAGTGGGCGAGGAGTGGGGGGGTCAACAGTAGGGGTAACTAGTGGGTCAGGTTCCCTAGAATGATGGGGGATAATGACAGATGGGACTTCCGGAAGAGGTGTGGGAATACTTTCCTGTAGAGGTTCCGTAGTAACTTGGCTGGATTCGAAATATGGAACAGACTCGAAGAAGGTAACATCGGCGGATACGAGGTATCGTTGTAGAGTATGTGAGTAGCAACGATAACCTTTTTGGGATCGATGATAGCCAAGAAAGACACACTTTAGTGATCGAGCTGATAGTTTATCAAGACCAGGGGAGAGATTGTGTACAAAACACGTGGACCCGAAGACTCGAGGAGGAATTGGGTGGAGTGGAGAGTTTGGAAACAAGATTGAATGTGGGATTTTATTATTAAGGACAGATGATGGCATGCGATTTATGAGGTAACATGCCGTGAGCACTGCATCTCCCCAAAACCGAAGAGGAACATTACCATGGAGAAGTAGGGTCCGAGTGGTTTCTACGAGGTGCCGATTTTTGCGTTCGGCTACCCCGTTTTGTTGGGGTGTATGAGGGCAAGATGTTTGGTGCAAAATACCATTGGATGACATAAATGTTTGAAATTGTTGGGATAAATATTCACGTGCATTGTCACTTCTTAAGGTACGAATAGACAAACCAAATTGGGTTCTTATTTCTCGATAAAATTGTTCAAAAATGGAAAACAATTCAGATCTATTCTTCATTAAAAATAACCACGTGCAACGTGAAAAATCATCAATAAAGGTGACAAAATACCTAGACTCAAGAGTAGAGACAGTACGCGAGGGACCCCAAACATCGGTGTGAACTAAAGCAAAAGGGGACGAAGCTCGTTTGTTGACTCGACAGGGAAATTGACTACGAGTGTGTTTCCCTAATTGGCACGACTCACAATGTAAATTAGAGACCTTCGATAAATTTGGCACCAACTTATGTAATTTGGAAAGACTGGGATGACCTAACTGAGCATGGATAGTGAGTGGAGAATTTTTGGTTGAGCATGCCTGAGATGACAATGAAAGGTAGTAAAGGCCTTGAGACTCATATCCGACGCCAATCGTCTTTCCCGAACTCCGATCCTGCAGGGTAACATTATTATTAGTGAAGGTGATACTACAATCAAGAGAACGAGTTAAACGACTGACTGAAAGTAAATTAAATGGACAATTAGGTACATAGAGGAAAGAAGTAACAGATAGAGAAGGTAGAATTTGAACAGTACCAATCCCTTCGGATCGGGTTTGAGAACCATTGGCCGAAGTTATAGTAGGTAAGAAACCAGAGGTAGAGAGGGAAGAGAACAAATTTTTATAACCAGTAACATGATCAGACGCACCAGAATCAAGGACCCAAGGTCGAAGAGGAGATGATTGAGAGAGGCAAACAGATAAATTACCAGTGTGTGCTACCTTAACAGTAGAATCTGAGTTCTGATAATTCTGATACCACCTGAGGAAATCATCGTAGTTTGGCGTAAAGTTCTGAGGAGTAGCCATGAGTATCTGAAGAGAGAAAATATCACGCGATCGATCGCTGGCCGGACGTGCTGTCACGTGCGTTTCAGGTGGCGGCGCTGGATGCCCACGCGCAGAGACGGAGGTGGCGCGTGTGGAGGTTTCTGCCGATGAAAAAGTTTGCCGGAAGGTCGTTGAGAATAGCAACGACGGCGGCAGCTATGCGGTTATGACCGAAGAATTTTGAAAAGTGAGGCAAACCGGAGTGACAACACGGTTTGCAAAAAAAAATTTCTCACCGGAAGACAGTGGGTCAACCGGGTAAAGCACGGCGAAGAAAGAATTGCCTCTTAGCAGGCTCTAGATACCATGTTGAAATACAAGAGACTAAGAGACATTTGAATAAACCGTGTGTTTTGAAAAGCACTACGGAGACATTATTATATATAAATAGAATACAAGTAATTATATCATATAGTCGATGTGGGACTATTCTATATACAAATATTCTCAACACTATATATATATATTTACACATATCAACAATAACATATAACATGCAACCAGGGGCGGACCTACATGCTTAGGGTGTGCATTTGCAACCCCCTCATATAACATACTCCCTCCGTCTCATAAAAAGTGTCTCATTTGCACTTTTTTCTGCATCAAAATAAATGTCTCTTTACGATACCAATACAATATCTATTATTTTTTCCCACTACTATACCCTACTCAACTACTCCGCTAGCTATAATTAATAAGGACATTTTAGTAAATAATACAAATTTTAGCATTACTAAAATGGAGTGAGTAGAGTTCGATAGTCTGCAACTCTTGAGCCATAGTCTTGGATACGCCACTGCATACAATTTCCAACATCCATAAAATGGAGCGACTGGTATGATTTTTAGATAAAAATCATATGGGCATTAAAAAGAAAGGTGTATTTTTATGTCAGACAGAAATTCTGTTAAGAGACAAACAAATAGCATTCGAAGTACAACTGATTGCTCAAAAAAAAAAAACTTTACAAGATAAGACACTAAAGATACACATGAGAATAAAGGATCTCTAATTTATATTTTCATGAAAACAATAACTAAAGCCAAAGCATAATTCAGTATTTATACATCAAGTGATATAGTTGTCAATGTTAACAAAGATACTATTACTGATCCCAAAATAAACTATAAGAAACTATACCCCAGCTACAATGCAACAAATATCCTATGCACAAGCCAACTTTACCTTGTGCTGAAATTCAAAATAATAGGAGGGGTCAAATTCCTACGTCCTAACCACTTGTTAATACTAATAAGTCATAAATGACTCTGAAACTAACATGTCAAGAACAAATTTCCCTGAATACTTAATTAATTACTTTATGGTACACATATATTAATAGATGTCTCAGGGTTAGAAACTTACAGAAGTTATTCAAGACCAGCCTTTTAAATAAATCAGGATCCATCATGCCCTCAGCTGAAATCAAAGTATTTAACCATGACAGTGCATATGGTGAACGAGATGAAACCTCATAAGCTGCTACCAACAATGCCCCTAAAGGAACTACAGGGACACTCAGAGCCTGTGCAGGATCTGCCTGTTCAAAAATCACTTCATTAGTTCCTCGACAAATATTCTGACAAGTTAACCACTAAAGCTATGAAGGGGGTAACAAGAAAAGGATAAAACTATCCACTTACGAGTGGCAAGAGTAACTTCAAAGTCGATTTGGATGATGTGTAGTCCAGAGATGATGCAAGGGTAACTACTGCAGCCAATCTGGATTCTTTTCCTTCAGAACCTTACATGAAATATAATGATAACAAATTATATATAAATGAATAAATAAATAAATAAATAACTTGCATATTTATTTTGTACAATGCTACCAGCAGACCTAGGTCTATACCATTATGTATGCTCACTAGTAAAATCTGCCATTATGTATTGACAATTTTTTGAAGGAGCTGATATTATAGTTGTTAAGAAGTGTGGTTGGGCCTAACTCAACCCTACAAAACCGGTTGGTAGAGTGAGGATTACCCCCACTTATAAACACATGTTCATGCCATATATTGTCCGATGTGGGACTCTTAACACACCCCCTCACGCTCAGGACTGGACAACTGAAGCGTGGAAATAAATGGTGGGTGGCCCGATAGCGGAAACCATAGAAGGTGGCCCACTGGATCTTAAACGAGGCTCTTGATACCATGTTAAGAAGTGTGGTTGGGCCTAACTCAACCCTACAAAACCGGTTTTGTAGAGTGAGGATTACCCCCACTTATAAACACATGTTCATGCCATATATTGTCCGATGTGGGACTCTTAACAATAGTATAATTAGAAGCAACAAAAGACTAACTTGTGTATCATGGAAATATAAAAAGGTAGAAGTGGTTTACGAGTATTGCTATTTTATGTAAGAAAATAATCAAGCCAAAGTTATCAAGATGCCAATAGATATATTTCAGATAAAATCCTGGTTTCACTAAAAAACTATAAAAAAAAACTCATAAATTCTCACGTTCGAGTCTAGCAGTATACTTGATTCAATTGTGCACATATCTATGTGCGGACTGAATCTCATATGGTTCTAAAGTTTGGTCTTTTTTGTAATTCATTAAGATATATAGCTGTTTGTGTTTTAGACCTTTGAAATGTCATTCACGAAAGCTCAAGTTGGGTTAGAAATTGATATGGATTATTGTTGGTGACTTAACCACAAGTACCTAAGTGAATATAAAACTTGTAGAATCCCCAGAAACGAGAGTATATTAGATAAAATGATGCCCATTCCCAAAGGTTTAAGGTAGATAAATAAATATATTAAATAGTGAGCAATAAAAAATTATAGGTCAAATTAAACCATTATGAAAGATTTAAATTTAAATTGTTTATCATTGAACGTGATAGATAATAGAGGTTATTGTGAGGTTTAGTCAACCCCACATTGTGTAAAAAGGCTTTTGTTCAAAACAAAAAAACAGAGTTAATGATTTTCATAAACAAAGTTGTTTGCTGTCATTTTCCCAACTAAGTAAATACTAAAGACCAATTCAAAGTCTTGACAACTAATAACTGAATAAATGATGGTATATTTGGTCAACCCAACAATAGAACAGAGATAATGTATCGGCCATTGATGGCCATCATTATGATATTAGCCTGCTATGGAAATTTCCAAATCCTACCCCTTTGCTCGCAATTAAAAAATAATTGAGAGTAAACAATAAGATGATAACATATAAAAGAAAAATGGTCTATGGTAAATCTGCACTATCAAAAGCTGGAAACTTACCAAATCGTGACAGCATTGAATATAGCAAAATGCCACCCATGGAGTGTCCAATTGCAAGCAATTTCCCATCTTTTGGTATGCTTTGTTTCAAAATGTATTCCATCTGTCCGATAAAATAAAACCAAAAAATTCATATAAGAATAAGATATATGCCGCCAGAGAAGGTTTCTTCTGAAGTCTGATTATCACAAAAAAGAAGGGGGTTGCAACTCATATGATTGTTAACCAGTGAAAATAAGAATAAAGAATTATGAACGTGTAACATTGCAACATGATCAGATGTCACCTTACCGCTGCAGGAACATCTTCTTCCAAGTAATGATCAAAGTCCCAATTGTACTTCGCCATCAAGTCCAATTGCTTCTGAAAATCTTCTATTGTAGAAGTAAAGCTAGCTTGCAAATCAAATAATGGAGGCGAAACGGATAGCTGACCTGCCTCAATAATATCTACTAGCTTTTCACTCAACTCTGTTATTTGGCTAGTAATGCCAGAATTTTGTCTCGTTTCCAACAAAGTTGCAATCTTTCCCCTTACCTCATTGAATTGTTCATATAATTGAGAATCCACCAAAAGTTTTGAAATCTGATCAAAAAATTTGGCAGACATGACCTTCACTTGACTTTCACCTAGAAAACCAGAGACTCTTTCTGACAAACGCGTAAAAGTTTCCGTCAAACTAGCGACCAACTTTGATTCATCCCAAGCAGTAGCAAATCTAGCTAGGTCTCCTACGACAGCCACATTCTCTGTTTCTACTTCTAAGGCAGAACTGGATACATCACCAGATATGTTATCCAATTCCTTTTTTGACGATATGGATCCATTAGTTGCATTTTCCACCATATCTTCCATCTTCTCAGACATTGCATGGGCAGACTGTTCAATATCTTTGGAATCTAAACCCTGAACACTCAACCCAGCACCCCGTACTTCAAGAATCCAAGTCTCGAATCCCTGCCCAGACATGTGACGGGCAAAGGATGACTGCAGCACATATCATGTTAGTATGAAGCCTGATATAAAAAGCCAGAAAAATATGTAATGCTCGAAAAAATACAAATAACCAGCTATGATTAGGAAGAGAGTATCATTCGTTACTCAGACATAGTTTAATTGCATAAAATAATACAAAGGAAAAATGAAAATTTAACCAAAAAGATATATGGTTGAAGGAAAAACAAAGAATCAAAAGATGTGTCTTCATTGCATTCTTTAAAGGAAGAGGAATTCAGAATTTCGCTACCAAAGTGCAATTTAAAACGGTATATTAGTGTTTATATATACAGTCAAAAGTCTCTAGCTCCTTTGTTCATAAACATATTATACTGTAAGATTCTCATGCTAAAGATAAATATTTGGATGTAAAAATATACACGAAAAAAAGACATGCACATAATGTTCATCAAAAACCACTAAGCAGGATTGGCTACATGGATCAAACTATGTCATAATGTTCATCAAAAACCATGTTTCTATCCACTCATTAATCTCGGGACCTTTCTTAATAATTTCTCTTATAGTTCTTCTATGTCTTACCCTACCTCTAGCGATTAGACTACCCTCCATCTGATCAACTCTATATAATCCACATGTCTTCTCTCAGCATGTCCAACCCACTTAAATCTAGTTTCCACCATCTTTTCTACTATAGGTGTTATCCAACAATCTTTCTAGTATTGTCATTTCTAATTTTATCTTATCTAGTCTTACTAACAACAAAATCTCATCCCACTATGTGGATTTGTTATATGAATTGGACGACGTCGTCATTTCAAATATAGACCTTTTGCCTCTAATGTTAATGATTTTACCTAGTTTTTCTTGCTCTCTGCCTATCTCTAACTACAAGACTATTCTCTATCAGATCAACCTTCCATACTAGTTTTTCTGTAGGACAGGTAGAATCAAAGGAAGACTACATACATACAGAACAGAAACACATAGTGCATAATTATAAAGGAGGAGCTAAGGAAATTCTATATACAAATAAGATTGCTAGAAAAGAGAGAAAGAAAAAAAAAGGTTCATTACCTGAGGCGAAAGGTCATATCCAACAGCATTAGTCCCCACTCCAGATAATAGCAGTAGAGGATGATTTCTGGGAGGTGCCTGTGAAACAAGTATTGAATTCCATTTTAATTTTTAGAGAGAGCTCATAAACCTTGATACACTCAAACCCTTTAATAACTTTTACAAAGAATAAATTTTATCAATCCATCTATTCAAATTAACACTTTATCACAGTGCTTTATTTTAATATATCACGTAACAACAACAACCATGTCTTATCCCACTAAGTAGAATCAGCTACATGGATCAACTTCCACCATATAATGTTCTAACCAGAACAATGCTTCTATCCAAACTCTTAATCTCGATATCTTTCTTAATGACTTCTCTCATGGTTTTCTAGGTCTTTCTCTACTTCTAACTCTTTGACTCATTTCTATCTGATCCACTCCTTACCATAGAATCTATAGGTCTTCTTTCTACATGTTCAAATTATCGAAGTCTATTTTCCACCCTCTTCTCTCTACTATAGGCGATATTCCAACACTCTAATATTTTCATAATATGTTATTAAAAAACTAAGTAAGTTTTATGAATTTAATTACCGACAATGCAAGAAAATCTTACACAAATATTCAATCATATATCGCCATATAGGTATTTAGGGAAAGAATATATGATCAATTTTCATTCCATAAAAAAAATTCAAAGTTTATGAAATTTTACACAGTATATAAAGTAACTGATAGTTGATTGAATGAAAGATGTAACCTTGGGGCAAGGATGGTAGCGCCATAGGGCAAGTTTCCAATCGGAATTGGAAACGGAGACATAGTGAAGTTCGTCGGCGGTGCAAATGGAAGGCTTATCGTGGACGGCGGTGGAGAAGGCTCTTATACGGAAGGGAGCGGTGGCGCGTGGGAAACGACGGAAGGGGGAAGAAATTTTGCAGAGAGAATAGATTGGATCGTATTGGATGATTCCCATATTTTGAAATTAACAACGTCGTTGATTTCGCTGCTCTTATTATTATTATTATTATTATTTAATTATTTATTTATTTATCTCTTTCTACTTTCCTTTGCTTGTGATTGTTTGTGTTCTCTTTTGGTATGGCGGTTGAAATTTGACATGGTGGCATAATACTTATCACAATTATTAATAAATTAAAAAATATGAGTAATTTTTCCCACCCAAGATCATTTTTGGATTTATTTACTCAAAAGAAGAATAAAAAAATAACTTTGGATTTAACACATGAAATTAAGGATTACACTTTGAAAAAATTGAAAAACATTTTGCCAAAATTTTCTTATAAACACCTTATCTATGTGATAGACAACAGATTTAGGGACACCATGTAATTTGACCAATGTTTTCATAAATGTCTCATCCACAATTTTATCATAAACTATAAACTACAATTCTATGCTTTCAATAGACAAGTCTTTGTTTTACTTTGACACTGTTAATTTCCTTTGTTGCTTGTAGAACTTGTGTGTCTTGTGTAGTGCATTGCCTTAATTCTTAAAAAAAAAAACAGCCCTTGGTTCAAATCAAGCCATCATCGTGACCCTGGAAAGAGCATCAGTAGCGACATTCTCTTTCCCTGGTTTATATTCTACTATAAACTCATATCCAATGAACTTGTGCAACCAATATTGTTGCTTTAGTGTCCAATGGAAAGCTTATGGTCACCTTGAGTTTTTCAAATGCCTTAATAGCTTCTGATGTCTGATGGAAGGCTTCTTTCTTCAAAAGATTTATTACGGGTGTGGCTATAAAAGCATACTCCCTCATTCTGTCAAATTTCACATTTTAGATTTTTTTAAATAATTGATGTACCTCTTTTAAATAAAGTATATCAATTATTTAATAAATTTTAAAATGTGAAATTTATTTATAACATGGGACGAAGAATTATTCTTTAATGAACGTCCTATATATGATGTCTAAGAATCCTCTTAAGTTGATTGATTTTGTTAGGTTAAGACCATTGTAGGATAGATTGTACTTGTCCTTATCCATTGTCACCCCTGACTCTGATAATATGTGGCCTAAGTAATGAACTTCTTTCATGCCAAAATTACACATAGATAGCTTCACACATAGTACATTTTGCTGTAATATTTGTAAAATTGTCTCTAAGTGTTGCAAGTGAGTGGACAATGAAGGGTTATACACAAGCATGTCATCAAAGAAGACTAGGACATACTTTATCAAATATTAGTTGAAAATTTTGGTTCATTAAGCATTGAAAATGACGCACAACCATTTGTGAGACCAAATGGCATAATAAGCAATTCATAACGTCCTTGGTGTGTTGCGAATGTAATTTTGTATCTATCCTCTGGTTCAATCAATATTTGATGGTAGTCAAATCTCAAGTCAAGTTTATTTTTCCTAAACACTTCATCTATTAGTTCATCCACCATGGACGTAGGAAAGGAGACATTCATGGTAATATCATTTAATGCCCTGTAACCTATGAAAAATCTCCATGTACCACCTTTCTTCTTGTCCAACACAATAGGATAAAGAGAATGAACTATTGTTTGGTTGTATGATATCTCCATCTAGCATTTCTTGAATCATTAATTCAATATGTTCCTCTAAGTTTTAGGATACTTATAAGGTCTTACATTCACATGGTTTGTGTCATCCATAAGAGGTATCTTATGGTTTTGCAAACTAGGAGGTGGTAAGTCAGATGGTTTGTGAAACACATCTTTGCATTTGTTCAACAGTAAAGTTAATTCAGGTTTCATGGTGCTAGGCAGCTCCAACTAACAATCCTTTTGGTTTATAGATTCAACCTATGAATATCAAAATAGGCATTTATAGCAATAATGTGGTAAAATCTTCTCATGTGGTGTAAGTGTGTATGTTGTGGTACAATGCTTATATCTCTTTGTAATGTAACAAATTTATCTTTATCATAAAACTTTATTGTTAAAGCTTTGGAGTTTTCCATATGTGGTCCCAAAGTTTCTAGCCAAGTGGCCTCTAAACTTAAGTCATCCCTTACAACAAGTACATAAGAATCTTGATGTTACGGTCTTGGACAACATACTTCAGAGATTGACCCTTTAGAAGCCAAAGAATCACCATTTCCTACAATTACTTTAAAAAGTGGGGCAAGTTTAATGCCCAACTTCAAAAAGTGTACAATTCTTGGTTAAAGAAAGTTATATGGGCAACCCCTATCCACTAGAATCGACAATGTCATGTTACCAATATGCCATGTGAATTTAATAGTACCAATTCAACTATACCCTTTTTGAGAATTAAAGGAAAAATGTAATTTCAGTTGTTTGTCCTCATTTTCTGTGGCCATATCTTTAGTACTCTCATTAGTGGATATAACACCATCATCTATTTGTAGGATCATCAAATTTTTATTGGGACACTTATGGTTAAAAGACCACTTATCATCACTGGCATATCATAATCTTTTATCTCTTTTGATTTGCATCTTTTCTAAACTAAGTGTTTTAACATTTTGGTTTTTTTAGGACATTGAATGAGGGTTTCACCGTGGGTGTAGGAAATAATGGTGGTAACATGGATCTGTTTGGGCTAGGGTTACTAAAGGTATAAGGCTTGGTGTTTGTATTGAAAGGATATAGTTTAGACACTGGTTGACATTTCTCTTCAAAGAGTTTAGCTAAAGATATTTGCATCTGATATGTTGTAATACTCAAAGAACTGCTCTGCTTTAAAGTTCCACTTGATAGTATGAGTACCATCGAACTTGGGGAATTCTAATTTGATGCTACATGTATGAAATAAAGCATGAGGCTGGTGGCTTTTTAGCCCATTCCATCATGTTGTGATTCTGATGCACATTGCAATAATGATTCAACTATAGTTTCAATTCTCGTGAATCAGTTTTTCGCTGATCACTTCTAAGTGGTTGAACCATTTAACATAGCCGCTATCTCACACATCCATAACATCTATGAATTTGTGCAGTTGGAGGAGGTGAACATGCTTCTTAATTTCTTCTTGTAGTTCCTTAAGTGTGGGATATTAGACATGACGTGATCTCGGAACTCTGAAGCATGATTACTTTTCTTAAGTTTTGAATAAAATTTGAGGTTTTCTCAAATATTAATATAATATAGTACATTTATGTGTTTTAATTTTTTTTATTGTATTTTAACATTATTTATACTTTTTTAAAATTTTTATATTGGTGTTTTGTTATCAATCTAACAATTTAGTTATCTACACATATATTTTATAGAAAATTCTTATTTCTTATTAACGTACCCATATCTTGATTTTTTTTTAAAATACCGTATTTCTTACTAGTACCTATGCATCATAGGACGTGATGGAAACACCGAAGAATTTTGTCTTTCAATCAAGTGTATTAATATAAATATAAATTGGACAATTTATGGAGATAAAATATTCAATAGTATTAGGTGATCATAATACTTTGTTCAAAACCAATTATATTTTATTGGACAAAGATATTCGACCAAATATTAATACTATTGGGTCTTATGAAGTCACACAAATAATAACCTAAAGATTGATTGGGAGGTCATGGATCGGAAGAGAAATGAGGTTATGGATTAGAAAATAAATAATAGGGATGATTAAGTCACATAATGTATGACATTATGAGCTTAATTAATCCTTCTCCATTTAACCATATATAAGATAGAGGTTACATGAAAAATATTCATCATTCTATCATCATTATTTCAAGAGATAAATTTTAATTTTATAGAGTGTTTTCTTACATTCTCTTCCTCCTATTTTTCGGTTCTCCCTAGCCACAAAAGTAAGGAGAAAAACTTGTTCCCTTCTTCCGTACTAGCATACATGGTGATCTAGTTGTTACTCGTGGACCAACACTAGAGGGGCGACATTTGACGTTCTCGAAGATCTCCATTGAAAGTTAGCACCTTCGTGGATTCACACATCATAGGTATATATTTTTATACTTTATATGATTCATACTGATATATGCATGATAATCTTGGAGTTAGATGTAAAGAATAAAATTCTTGAAATTCTGCTATAAGCATCTAAATTCCAATAGTGTGGTATCAAAGCCTCTTGCATATGTTAATATGATTTATAAGATGCTAACTTGCTCATAATTTTATTCAACAAGAGATTTATTCTTGAGTTAGTATGTATGATCAAATGATGATTTTAATTGATCGAAAGGTATGAAAGAGTTTTATAAATTTTTTATCTATATATAAAGTTGTTATGTTTTATTCAAAAAATTTGGATCAATTGTTAATTAGAAAATTTGAAAGATATATGTATGAAACTTTGTTGCTGGAATTTGTGTTTATGTTTTTATTTTATGTTTAAGTATAAGATGTTGGAACTTTAATTAATTAATGTTGGAACTTTAATTAGTTAGAGTGGGAATTGGAAACATTTGTTGACAATTAATGAGCAATAAATGAACACAAGTGAGAACTAATATAGAAGTGAATTTGAAAAGATTCATTTTAGTCTCACATTGAAGGGAATGGAAATATTAGTAGTGTTTATATATTCCAACTTTGTCTATTGGGTTGGGCCTTAAAGGGCACCCAATTTTGTGAAAGGAGTGAGGACACACCCATGATCAACAACGGTTCGGTCTAACTGATATATGTGAATTAGATGGAAGTTAACTAGAAATAATAAACGTTATTTTATCACTTTTATTGACGATTGCTCTGATTATACTTATGTATATCTAATGAAGAATAAAAGTGAAGCGCTTGACATGTTTAAGGTGTATGTAACTGAAATTGAGAATCAATTTAACAAGAAGATTAAGAGACTTCGCAGTGATAGGGGAACTGAATATGACTCTAGCTTGTTTAATGATTTTTATGCTGAACATGGTATTATACATGAAACAACTGCTCCATACTCTCCTGAAATGAATGGTAAAGCAGACAGAAAGAATATGACTCTTACTGAACTTGTAGTTGCAATCATGCTGAATTCTGGTGCTGCAC